AGTGGTGGCACAAGAACAAGGGGTTCTCCCCAAGGGGAAACCCGCTTCGCATGCTCAAGGTCACGCGGAGGTGCCTACGTGCCTTAGACATGTGGAGGAAACCTTGGTTCTTGTCTCAGGGCCCGGTGCTGGGAGCTCCTTGTCGCTGAGTACGCTAGCGACGGATGCATCCTTCACCGGTAGGGGTGCGGTCATGAGTGGCCACCCTGCCCCCGGTCTGTGGAGTGGTCGCCATCTGACGGGGCATATCAATTGTCTGGAGATGCTGGCCATGTTTTGAGTTCTGAAACACTTTCTCCCAGACCTAAGAGGTCACCATGTGTTGGTGCGCACCGACAACACAGCGGTGGTCTCTTACATGAACCACCAGGGAGTTCTGCGTTCACGCTCCTTGTACAAGCTGGCGCACCAGATACTTGTGTGATCCCAGGGCAAACTCCTCTCGCTGAGAACAGTTCACATTCCTGGGCATCTCAATATGGGAGCAGACAACCTGTCAAGGCAGGGGCTGAGGCCCGGGGAATGGATGCTTCACCCCGAGGTGGTGAAGCAGATATGGAGAGTGTTTGGCCAGGCTCAGGTGGACCTGTTGTGACTCATATGATATCGCACTGTTCCCTCTGGTTCTCTCTGACTCATCCAGCTCCACTGGATGCCATAGTACAGACGTGGCCGAGGCTTCGTGGCCTCTGAGGAGGCACAAGTCATAACTTCCGGTCTCTCAACCGAGGTTGTTGAGACTATCCTCCATCTAGAGCTCCCTCTATGAGGAAACTGTATTTCTGCGGAGACCGCCAACCCGACCCAGCTAACTGCCCGTTTGGTACAGTTCTTGAGTGAAGACACCCTCTTCTTACACGTTTCCTCTGCGGTGCGCTGAGGCCGAGGCCTCCGGCCAGAGAAGCTTATGCTAAGTGGTGGATCAGCATCCTGATCATCCAGCAACATTCCATAGCCTCAAGTCCTCTGATCTCCTCTCTCTTTTGGGGGTCAAGATTCACTCCTCCAGAAGTTGGCCTTCGGGATGGTGGATCGAGTTCCTGAAGAGGAACGTCTCAGGTTACGTATGTAACCCTGTTTCCTCGAGGGAATGAGACGCTGCGTCTCGGTGCCATACTTCCGGCATCCCTGCCAGCACTTGCCTCATTCCTGAAGCTGACGCTGGCTCTGCCGCACATGCTTTTATAGCTTCCTGGTCATGTCGTCACCCGCCCGTGACGTTCCGCTCAGCTATTGGACTGATTTCACATGTGATTCAGAGTGTGGTCACAGAAGGCGTTCCCGAAGTGTTTTCCGACGCAGTGTCTCGTTCCGTAGAGGAACCATGGTTACATACGTAACCTGAGACGTTTCTGTTCAGGGAATTCCTCCTGAAATCTATGCTATTTTAACATTTTACTTAAAAGCAGTATCTATTATTATCAGATGATATCACTAATAATATTGATGTATTTATTGAGACTAATAAGTCAGAATCCGTTTCACCCTCTTTATTATGGGAAACATTCAAAGTGGTAATTCGAGGTCATGTTATTTCATATATGGGTTATAAGTACAAGCAAAGAAAACTAAAATTACAAGACCTGGTTAATTCCATTGTTGAGATTGACAGGCAGCTTCTTAATAATCCTACTCCTGAGCTGTACGCAAAGAAGTTGGAGTTAAGAACGGAATTTGATTTGCTTAGTACAAAGAATGCTGAATTTATGCTTCGAAGAACTAAGGCTACTTATTATGAGTATGGAGACAAAGCTGGTCGATTACTGGCATCCCAGCGTAAGGGACTAGCTGCCTCTCGTCTAATTACTCAGATCTATGATTCTTCTGGCTCTTTAACTAAAAATCCCTCTGATATCAATTATGTTTTTTTCTCTTATTATTCCAACCTGGTGCGGTCATGAGTGGCCACCCTGCCCCCGGTCTGTGGAGTGGTCGCCATCTGACGGGGCATATCAATTGTCTGGAGATGCTGGCCATGTTTTGAGTTCTGAAACACTTTCTCCCAGACCTAAGAGGTCACCATGTGTTGGTGCGCACCGACAACACAGCGGTGGTCTCTTACATGAACCACCAGGGAGTTCTGCGTTCACGCTCCTTGTACAAGCTGGCGCACCAGATACTTGTGTGATCCCAGGGCAAACTCCTCTCGCTGAGAACAGTTCACATTCCTGGGCATCTCAATATGGGAGCAGACAACCTGTCAAGGCAGGGGCTGAGGCCCGGGGAATGGATGCTTCACCCCGAGGTGGTGAAGCAGATATGGAGAGTGTTTGGCCAGGCTCAGG